CAATGCGCCCTTGGGAGCTAGAGCTCCAGAGGGGCCTGGCTGGAGAGTCTGTGGAAACGACTTTCCTGGAAGCTTTCCCCACTCCAGGAGTCAGGTGCAGTAGCCCCCAGACCTAGAGAGGGAGCCATGCGGCCAGCAGTGGGAGGCCTGGACTCCCACCTCTGGCAACTCCTACATCCCCCAAACCCATGCATAAGTTGAGTAGGGGCTTCCAGGAGAGGGCAGCCACAGGGTCCCCAACACAGCCTGGCGGGCTGCATGAAAGTTTTCTGAAGGAGGCGTGAAGCCTGGGCCCCTCCATCTAGGCCCCCCCAGCTGCTGTGTGGGGGCCTGGTCTCATGCCCCTGGGGCTGCCTGAGGCCCTGCTCAGATGGAATTCCTGATCCCACCAATGCCTAAACTTGCCCTGGATTCACCTCCTTGGCCTGCACGTCTGGCGGGACCTCAGTTTTCCTGCCCGCACAGGAAAGGGGGGGGTCGTCTTCACCGCTCAGTGCCCACCATGGACCGCAATGTCCATTAGGGCCCATTGATTATCTCTGGACCTCTCAGCCTCCATTTTGGGATCAATGAAGGCGGGGGGGGGGGGAGCTGTCATGTGGGTGGCCCCTGGGAGTCTCTCCCTCTCTCTGGCCTCAGCCATAGAGCAGGGGGAACAGCAAATGCCTCCAGGGTTCTGCTCCATCGTCCCCCAACAGTGCAGAGGGACACAGAAGGGCCCGTGCTCCCCTGGGTGACTCCTGGAGGGAGGCAGCCCCGTGCCCCCCTGCAGTCCACTCCTCCTCCTTGGCCTGCGGTCCTGCCCCAAAGCCTCTCACAACCCCCGGCCCACTTCCTTTGTTTGCCCTCCGAGGCCGCCGCTCTCTCCCAGCCTCTGTAAAGATGAGGAAGACATACCTGAATTGCCTTTCTGGCTAGTTTCTGCCTCTACGGGGCCTGCCACCTGCGCCAAGCTCGGGATTCAAGGCACCTCCTCGCCCATGGTCCACACCTGGCCCTAATGATCATCGCCTGAATGGTTCTAACGATGACATGGCCAGCCCAGCAGATGTGAGGGAAGATGGAGAGGAAGGAGGGGCTCCTGCCTCCCATTCATGGTCTCTGCCCCACTAGCCACACCAGCCCAGCTGCCGCTACTTAATTTCTGGCTTGTCTGTCATCTCGTGGTGATTTATGTTTCCTCGGGGCCTCTGGGCTGCAAATTCACTTTTTATTTTTCCATCAGTAGCCACCCAACCACCTGCAACCTGGACCAGGGTCCCCAACACTGTTGCCTCTTCCTATGGCCTATAAGCCCCCCAAATATAGGGTCTGAAGGCCACCGGGACAGGCTTCACCATCTTCACCCTGACACCACAGACTAAGGGAGGGCCCAGCACTGAGTGCACACGGTAGGCGCTCACTAATGCTCGTTGGGGCATTGACACAGGAAATGCAATTCTCATGTTATACTCTCTTTTCTGATCATGCAGCTTCCACATAAATATATACAACATTGATTCATTTCAGCATTTAGGAACTAGGGACATAGCAGTGACTGACAAAAATTCCCACCCTCAGGGAGCTGACCACGTAGAGGAAAAGTCACAGGAGAAATTGAATAAAGAAAAATATGGGCGTGCCTGAGGGCTGATGAATAAATGCCAGAGAAGAAAACCTCGGAGGAGGCAAGGGAGGGCTCCAGAGGGCCTGGGGAGTGGCATTTGAGGGAGCCGAAGCAGGGAGGCGCACTGGGCAGGGGAACGGTGGGAGCAAAGGCCCAAGAGGTGGGAGTCCGCCAGTGAGCAGGAGAGTGTTGGGAGGGAGGAACAGGTGGCAGGACAAAAGGGCCATACTTTGGGGCTGCCAGGATGGCCTTCCCTCGGAGTGCGTGTTGGGGGGAGGCACGGGCGCTTCCAGCTCTGTGGCTATTGTCAAGGGGCTTAATCCTACCCCTAAAAGCCAATCCTGAGGAGGAGGGGTGAGTCCCCTCCTTCATGGCCACAGCAGGGGGATCCAAGGGTGGGGCCCAGGGATGTAGACAGGACACGGGGGTCCAGAGAAGGAAATAAGAGGCTGGGGGGCACCTGTCCTGTGAGTGAGGGGCTTGTCCCCCCCCACACACACGAGGTGACCACAAAACTAAGGGGCCTGAGGGAGGAGCCACGGCTCCACCGGAGCACCCAGAAGGGCAGGAGGAACCTCAGACTCCCCTGCCTGCTTCCTGGAACCCCTGCCCGAGGTGGGGCGCTGAGGCAAAGAGAAGGCAATCACTATCTTCTTGAACCTGTGGGCTGGCAAAGGCTCCTCCCAGGGAACCACACACCAAGAGCCCATACTGATCGCCACCCGGGGGGCCTCCAGGTGGCCTCTGGGTTTCAACTGCCGCAGAGGTCCCCAGTTCTGTATGATGCAGCCTGGGGAGTGGCCACTCTGCACATTTATGGTGGCCCAGAGACAGTAACCAGTGGCCACTGAGGAACAGGGGAGATTTGAAAAAGACCAGGGCCCCATGTCTCTGGCGGTACACGGTGCCTGAGCGTGTGCAACACGTGTGTATGTACGTGTGTCTACCCATGGGGCAAATGACAAGTGTGAGGAGAAACTGGGCCAGGAACTGGGTCCCAGTGATGCCCCAACAGACAGGGCCCCTAACCTCGGGGAGCTCCCAGGCAGTAAGGGAGACAAAGAAAGAATCAGAGATATGACAGCCAGGGCCATGGAGTGAGTGGCCACTTGGCCAGGGAAGTCAAGAGGTGACATCTGACCTGATCTGAAGGAGCTGAGAGCTGGGCAGTAATGTACCAGGCAGGGAGCACAGCATGTGCCAAGGCCCTGAGGCAGGAACAAAGCTATTTCTATATTTACCCATTTGTGGTCACTTTTTGTGCTAAAACTGTCTCAAAAATAATAAGTGGTTATCACATCACCATATGTAAATGCATTATATCAACATGTACACCTTAAACTTGCACTATATTGCATGTTAATTATCTCAATTTAAAACAGAATAATTTAAAATCTTCATAATCGCTAAAAGGTGAAAACGTCTCAAAAATACTTCAGCAGATGAACACACATGATGTGTCCATCCACACACGGGAATATCACTCAGCCACGAAGAGGCGTGAAGCACTGACACTCGCTACCATGTGGATGGACCTTGAACACACAATGCTCAGTAAGAGAAGCCACACACAAAAGGCCACACAGTGTGATTCCACTTATGTGAAATGTCCAGGACAGAGACAGGAAGTGGATTTGTGGTTGTCAGGGGCTGGGGGTGACTGCTGATGGGGATAGGTCTCTTTTGGGGGTGATGGAAGGTTCTGAAATTAGAGGTGCTGATTGCACAACCCTGTGAATGTATTAAAAATTGTGGGATTGTACTTAAAACAGATGGATGGTGTGGTATGTGAACTATATCTCAATTTTTTTTCCTTTTTTTTTTAAATAACAAAATTAAAGTCAACTGCCAAGATTCAGCCCCATGATCCCTGCATTTATTTCTCTCCTTCTAGCTCCCTCCGACCCCGTGGCTGAGCTGGAGTGTGGGCAAGGGATCTCAGGGAGGCCTCCACCCCGAGCTTCAGGGTCCTCACCATTGAGTGGGAGACCCTAGCCTCCCTCATGGTGCTCAGCACATGCACGCACACTCCCCCCGCGCCCGCCACTGGGCAGGGGTGGGCGGGGGACACACAGAGGTCTTTGTGCTGTTGGCTGGCCTCATTAAGAGGCAGCCCCTGTCGCCAAGCCCCACACGGCCAAGGCCAAATTCATTAGCTGAGAGGCCTTCCCTCTCAGCAAACTGTGCCCAAGACGCTGCAGTCCCAGTGGGTGAAACCAAGGCAGGAGCAGCCTGAGACCCCAGGCCCTCAGCCCTGCTGGGTGCCCCCAGCCTCTCTCTGCCTCTGCCTGGGGCTTAACTAGGGTAACGGCCCCTAGAGCCCCATAGGCCGCTGACACGTGCCTTTTGCAAAACCAGAAAGGGGTTAAGAGATGACAGACAGACCCCCACCTCCTGTCCTGGCCTGGGGCAATTAGGGAAACTAAGTCACACAGCGGCAGAGTTTGGCAATGGAAATGTCACAGAATTTTGTTCCTAAGAGACCCATCATGTACTCAAAGGGACACTTAATAAACTCCTGCTGTGTACTTAGTGACAGCCCGTCTTCCCACCACCCTCCCAGGGGACTCCTAGGGTTCAGGGGCTTATTCCATTCCTGTTTCTCAGAAGGGGAAAACCGAGGCCCACAGATAACAAGGAAGGATACAGTGCCCCCTAAAATGCTTATTCCAGGGCCCGGCCCCCAAAAGATGCATAATCACAATCATCCCCAGATGTCCCCCTAGGACACCCCACCCTAGCAGGGACCTGACTCCCCATTTAGTAGCTCAGAGCACTCCTCCACCGAGAGTCGCAAGCCCCTAACACAGATGCACACCCTAGATGTTTATGCTCATTTTATTATAAAAAATACAGAATCCAACATTGATTGTGACGGGAAGGGGGGAGGCCCCACCACCAGCTCCAGGCGTGGCGACACCACCGCCCATGCCAAGCCTACAAAAGCCCCCCCAGCTGGCATGCCTGGTGGTCTCCCGGCAGCTGTGCACCATATATATTTATATATAATATATATAAAACACAGATCAGGAAAGGAGGGTAGAAATATGAAATCTGTATAAATGTGTCATTTGCTTCATTAAAGTGTCTTCGGGAGGCCATTTCTTCTTTTTTTGGTGGCGCTCCCACCCCCCATTTTGTTTTGTCCCGTTTTCTTCTTATAAACATTACTAGTCGTAGAGTAGAGGAAGGGAGCTCTGACAGACGAACAAGCTTATTGCAAAGTGCAGCTTCTATTCTAAAAAGTCCACCCCACCCCCACCAAAATAAAAGACCCCACCCCCCCATGAAGGTGTGACAAAAAGACAAAAAAAAACAAACAAACAAAAAACAACCCCTGTCCAGTTCATCCTCAGGAACACAGTAAAAATAAATCACAGTATATACTTGCTGGCTCTATTTACAGAAATGGAACGTCTTCTTGGACTCGGGGCGAAGTCCTGATCGTGAGTGGCTGTGGGACAGAGTGGAGAGCTGTGACTCCAAGCGGGCCAAGGCTCCACGGTGGCCTCTGATGCAGCAGCACGGGTTTCCACTCCAGGTGACAATCACCAGGCCTGAGGAGGGTGGGGGTGGGACTGCAGGGATGGGAGTCTGAGGTGGGCTCAGAATCCAGGGGTCTCACCTTGCCCCTTCTGCCTCACTGGCCTGTCTCGGGGTAACTGTGGGGTCTGCGGTGGCCTTCAGCCAGGACCCAACAAATGGAGTAACCAGCCTAGGGATCCCCATTCCCATCCTCCAGGGGGCCAAGGACCTCCACCTCATCCATTCTGTTTCCTTCCCAAAGTCACTGGCAACAGCAAGGAATAAATTAAATTAAAAACTCAAGTCTTTCTTATCCAACCATGAAAAATAAACAAAAAGCCCCCAACATCACTGACAGTTTCTCAGGTTCTCCAGTGCCCCTGATGAGATGGCCTGGCCAGAGGCTGAGCTCACATACTGCCACTTGGGCATCGGGGGTGGTTGGCTGCCCCCTGCCCTTGGGGCTGCTCCTAGGGCTGATGGACAGGCCTCTGCAGGTGGGGGCAGCACCAGGTGTGGGAGAGCCAGGTGTCTCTATTTGGTCTTGGATGCGGTCGTCCAGGTGGGGCTGGTGTCTTGCAGGCCAGGACTAGGAGCCCAAGAGGGTCCAGAGCACTGGGACAGTGCTGAGGAAGAGCTGGCAGCTGCCCAGGTTACTGCACGAATTATTGCTGGTGAAGATGGGCTCGGGGGCCTCGTACAGGGTCTCATCTGGGGGACACGGAGATAAGGTGGTCAGCGGTGGCCCAGACCCCTCCCTAAGGGGCCTCCCCCCCGCCCCTGGCCCTTTCTCACCACTTCCTAGAGTGTATCATGACCTGGACATCATTAAATATTTCAACTTCGGTTGCCCCTTGGGGCACTGAGATTTCTGTCTACTTGGCTGGGGCCGTGCCTCCAACGCACATCGAGGTGAATAGCAGGCATGCAACTAATGTGTCCCTGGCACCGGCGTGAAGTCTCAAGGCTGCAGGAGCTCCTTTATCTCTGGGTGTGGCTATGGTGCTTCAGGAGCTCAGAACACAGGCCCTTTGCTCTGTCTCAGGAAGCTTCCCTGATGCCCACACCCAGGGACTATGGCCTCAGCGAGGGGCCTGGTGATTGGCTTCAATCTTCACTTGTTAAGTCCTGAAATGTCCCAATTTGCAGATAGGAAACTGAGGCTCAAGAGTGAGACTGCCATTGCTGAGGTTGTTGGACTCCCTACGCTGTGCTGTGACCATCCCCTGACTCTTTTGACTACGCGGTGTGTCCTCAAGGAGGACACGAGGGTCGGGGCCTGGACCCTGCCCGACTCCCTTAATACTCACTGGTTGGCCGCACATAAACCTTCAGCCGCAGGCAGGGCCTGTCCACAGCGTTGGGCGGCGTGGCAGCTGGAAGACAGGGGCTGTGAGTGAGTGGGGCAGGGGGCTCTCAGTGGCCAAGACATCCTGGCACTGTAACCCCTTCCCGCCCCTATCCCCTGACCCTCCCTTTTGCTGAACCCTAACGTCAGAAATGGGGGGTGTCTGCGTCTAGCTCCATCTCACCCCCGAGCAGCACAGCAAGGTTCAAAGGTGACAGATAAAAATACGTTTATTTTCAAAACTCGGTGAAACCAAACGATTGACATGGGATCAAATCCCGACTTTCTGGATGCCTGTCAGCAAGTCACTTCCTACCTGGGTCTCGGCTGGTACACAGTAGGTACTTGGGAAACAATTATTTCTATCTGGGAGACAACAGAAGCCAGTTACCCTGGGACAGAGGCAGGTTCCACGTCTCCTGCAGGAACCCACACTGCGGAGGTCATCTGGAGGTAGAAGCATATTGGGTCCTCATGCCTAAAATGCCACCATTATTGCTCCTTGCTTCCTGGCCAACATGACAGGGCCCCCGGAGGGGGTGGTGCCACAGCTCCGCCATGAATCAGAAGGGAGGTGGCCGGCAGGATGCACTCATGTAAAGAGGTGTGGGCACCCAGAGCTAGAGCAGGGCCTGACCCCGCCTGTCCTCTCAGCCTGTCATCTGTCTTTGGCTGCTATCTCTGCTCCACTCCCTAGAAGCCCCTCACTTTTGGAGATGAAGATAAAGAGCATGTAATAAAAATAACATTTGTCACAGAGATAAGACAAATAATTACAATAATTATCTTTATGAAACTCCCATCTCAGAAGGAAAATGTAATTTTTCTTATTTCACAGGACTTAAACACCTCCTTCCCCTGCCCCCCCCCTTCTTCCTTGAATTAAAAGGAAAAAATCCAAATAGAGCAGAAAAGGAGGAAATGGAGTTTTTAAGTTTTTTAAAAGCCTTGTGGAGTTTAATTTGACCCAGCTAGAGCCAGAATATTGAGGAGCTGGGTCCCTTCCCTGCAGCAGAGGGTGGGTGGCTTGGGGTGGCAGGGGTAGGGCCCAGGAGACCCCTGCCCAGGCCAGGAGGTGCTGGGCAGAACCAGGGCTCTGCCCTCTCCCCTGGCTCTGACCAAGCTCCACTCTCCCATCAGACTCGGTATGCCTCAGTTTCCTCCCTCAGTGATGTAGGAGGTAGGCAGCCCTGGTGTCAGTGTGGGACAGGCTAACTGACAGTGAGGCCATCGGCTGGCTCCTCCAGCCAAGACGTCCAGTGGCTGATCCAGAAGCTGAGGTCGTTTGTGCGGCCACAGTCCCGCTCTGAACCTCAGTTTCCCCACCTGCAAAATAGGGAGTCTGACACTGGGGTTTTCGGGGCTCGCTGAGTGGATAATGAGAACATCCAAGAGGCTGACCTCAGGGACAGAGGCCAGCGCCGGACAGGGCGCGGGACCGAAACCATGCCCTAGCCTCCAACCCCCAACCCCGCCTGTTTCCCCGCCTCCTCGTTTCCCGGCCCTGCCCGCCCACTCACAGATGTAGTAGTATTCGTGACCCGGGCGGAACTCGAAGCCCAGCGAGAAAGGCGTGAAGAGCTGGAATTTCTCGGAGAACTTGAGCGGTCCCCCGGGCGCCGCGGGCCGGTTGCACTCCCAGCGCTTGAAGCCGCGCTGCCGGTGGTCACAGGAGGCGTGGCCCTCGCCGTTGACCATGTATAGCACATAGTGCTCCATGCGTTCGACCGGCGGCAGCGGCGCCCCATAGTGCGGGCAGTAGATGTCCAGGTAGTCGTTGATGCTCACCTCTACCGTGTAACCCCCGCTGTCGTCCGCCGCGCCCGCGTGAAACCTAGGGGAGGGACCCACGGTCAGCACGGAGAGGAGCTAGCTCCCGGGCAGGGCCAGATGTTAGCGACGGAGCGGGGTCCTGGGACTGGAAGCCTAAGGGGAGGGGCCAGAGCGGGGGGTGGGATCGAGGGGTGGCAAATGTTAGGGGGCGGGGTCTATGCAGGGGCGGGGTCAGCACGCGGTGGAGGGCGGGTTCAGGAGACCGCTGGGTGGATGCTAAGAGAGATTCCAGGGTGCGAGCTCACGGTCCCCTGCCTGGCACTCACGACCACCCCCAGGTCGCGGGCTCAGAAGACCAGTCAGCTGGCAAGCGACTGAGCCTCCGGCCCACAACAGGATTGGAGTTAGAAAGGAGTGACTGCCACCAGGTATTCTGGGTAACACGCAAACGACCGGTACCACGTGATTCCGAGGCACCTCCCCACCCCCAGGCCCAACATCTGGGCCCCTCTTAGACAAACAGGCTTAGTATAAATTGTTCCCCCCACCAGGAAGTCCTTCTCCAGAAATACTATTACGGCTTGACTTCTGTGCCCCCTCCTCCAGACAGTCCCCCATCGAGCCCATCACATACACCCTCCTTAGCTTTCCTCACTGCTAGGAAGGCCCAAGCTGGCCCGGTGACACAAGCCTAGGGTTCCGGTCTCTGGGGCTAGCTCTGCCTCCACTACCCTCAGTTTCCCCGCAGGTGGCGAGATTACGGACGAATGCCTCAGTCACGACCTCGTTCTAGCGCAAAGGTGTCCTGGGTTCGACCACAGTCCCACCCCTTCCCTCCTGTATGACCCCAGCGAGCCCCACATCCTCCCTCGGGAGCCTCGGGAATCTGGCAGCTGCCCCCCAAGCTCTTAGTCACTCCACCACGATCCCCAACCCATGACATCCCCGCCCCAGCCCTGACTCCCAGCCTTTGCCAGGGAGGTTCTTTTAGACTGTCACGCAGCTGAGCCCCTTCCTGGGGGAGCCCTGACCCAGCCTTGTTTTGGTAGGATAGAGGTCAGCTGGCAGCTCCCCTTCCATCACCGCCTCGGGTTACAGCGCCAGGAGCCTTTAGATCTTCTGGACATGGTCTCCCGGGTCCCTGTCTTGTAAATGCAGCCTGGACCGAGGGGGACAAGGGGGGGCCTCCCCAGAGGGGCTTATTAGCACATAAAAGGCCTAAGCATCCAGGCTTGCAGAGTAGACTCCTTCATGCTGCCCCTGTATTCTCCTCTCTCCCTGTAAAGGCAGGGAAACTGAGACCTGGCCAGGGTGGGTGGCAGGGGGGGCACAGGCTGCTGGGATCCCAGCCGTGCCACTGTCTCTGTACCCACCCTGCCAGCAGCCCCAGCCTGTGGGAGGGAGCTCGGATGGTCCCCATGCCAAGAGCACTAATTGGCACAGCTGGCACCTGAGGGGGCAGCGGGATTACCAGATGGCAGAGGCTGGCCCCCTGCTGCCCCTGAGATGCTGCACCAGGCGGGGCAAGGGCTCCTGGGACCGCCAGCAGTGGGGATGAGGCAAGCAGAAGACCCTGCTCATTTGTGCATGTTTCTCTATCCATCACTACGGCAGTGGTTTCAAGTCTGTAGCTAAGATCAAGACACACAGAATTTCAGTTCTGAGAGCTGAAGGGAGCAGATTCTCCCCCAGCCCCTTCCCCATTCTATTGGGTTTGTCCAGGGATGAAGAACTCATCCCACCCCCAAAGAGGTAGGAGGTTTTTTGTAGAATTAGTATGTCTGGAAGCGAGGCTCAGGAAGCGGAGGTCAGGCTGGGACCAGGGTCAGCCTTGCACTCTGCCCATCCCTCCAGCTGCCCAAGACTGGCCAGGCAAGGGTGTCTCATTGATCACCCATATTCTCCAGCCCCTTGGGCTTGATCAATGCAGAAGCCACTCCAGGCTTTTTGAAAAGTCATTTTTACTCCCTCCCAGCCCCACTGAAGACACCATTGATCAGCTAGTCAATGGCAGCAGCAGCCTAGCACCTGTCTGGGGACTGGCCAGAACCCATGCAGGGCCCTGTGGGGCAGACCACCACAGGGGAACTAGGGAAGGGGTGCCAGGCTAGAAGGGCTGCCGCCCTGGCCCCCAACACCCCTGGGTCTTGGTTTCCCTTCCCATCCCTGGCACGATGCCTGGTGATGCACACAGCCCGAAAGAGAGCCTGGCTCTCTGCAAGGCTTTCTTGAGGCCAGAATGGACTCAGGAAGGTGGGGCCACAGCATGATCTTTTCTTCCCCCTCCACCTCTGCCTGCGTGCCCCGTTATGCCTCCCCCTGCACCAGATGCCGCCATCATTCTCTCTTCATCTTGTGAAAAGCATCAGAGACCAAAGACACTTTACTGGCTCAGAGGCTCGACATCTGTGCCCCACCAGGCCAGTCAGTCTTCTGGCCTTCCAAAGCCTAAGGCTCACTTTTCTGAATGTCAGTCCGACCCTGTGACCCAATGGCTCAAAACCCTCACCACTGCTCAGAATAAAACCCACAGTCCTCCCGGGCCCGCAAGGCCCCTTGTGGCCCCGACACTCCCGCCCTCATCACCCTCTGCCTGCCTTCCAGCCACACCAGCCTCCTGGCAGCTCCTGTTCCCACCAGCGCCTTTGCACACACTCTTCCCTATGCCTGGAATGCTTTTCCCTGCCTCCTTATCACATATGTCATTACAATATCATCAGTTTTACCTCCACATAGTCCACTGTCTGCCCTTCTGGTCTCTTTCTCCGCCCCTTCCCCGTGACTAACACAGGCCCTATATACAGTGGCACTTAATACGTGTTGGTTGATCAAACAAAGTCCAAGGATTCAAGGTGTTAGAGTCTTGGGAGCAAACAGTGGGGAAGAGAGGACCCCAGGCAGATGTGTCCCAGAAGCCCCTGCACCCCACCTGAACTGTGGCCGCTTAAGTGGACCATTTTTTCCCCTTCCTGGCTCTAAAATAGCAACGGCCTTGCTGCGTTGGCATTCCCGGTGCCAAGCTGGCTACCCAGCCAGGGTGGGCGCCTCTCTCCTGCCTATGTGGAGGAGAGACCAACCCCAAAACGAGGGAGCCTGGTTCCTGGTACCCTGGTGCAAGCAATACAAAGCCTTCCATATCCTCCATTGGGGCCTTAGCCTGATATGCAAATACTCTCCCTTTGCAGCAGATAGAGATGGAAATTCTCACTAAGGGGTTAGTGACTGACTTGGGATCTTTCCCAGATAGTGGTCTCCCCAGGCTTTCAGACCTTCTGCTCCCTTCCCCACCCCCACCAGCCACACCTCTGCCCCAGTCTTCATCCCCCTGCCAGAGTACACTCCTCCAGTTAGCCCTCCCAGCCCTGGGTGAGCCCTCACCCATCAGGGTCCCTGATCTGCCCTTCACAGCCACCCCAACAGTGCCAGGCACCCTGTCCCCACAATCACCAGGCAAGCTGCTAATTAGCTCCATTGGCCAATTGTCGTCATTAGAAGCTAATAGCAAAGCAGTTAATTAGGGAATCTTGCCCCAAACAGGGACGGGGACTTCCAAGACTGGAAAGGGAGGCACTGGTGGGGCGGGCAGCAGGCCAGGGCCCTGGGCGCCCGTCCTGCACATTAGTGGGGCACAGCCTGCTTGTCCCTGCCTGCTGCTCCTGGAGAGACCCCTGAGGCCTCAGTGCCTACTCCCCAGGGTTTTGAAGGGCTGAGAAGCCATTTCCCCAAGTTAGGCCTGGCCACCAGGAAGGGGGTACTGGGTGGGATCTCAAGGAAAATTAGGGCCCCAAAGTAACGCAGAGTTGGAAAGGAAATGCGTGGTCTTGTGGGTACAGGAGATACATTGAGTGCAGGGGCCCCAGAGCTAAAGCAAGAGGAAAAAAATAGGACATGGTGGGTGCAAAGGTGGGAAAGGGGTGCAGAATCAGAATCAGTAAGGGCCTCAGTCTCAGCAAGACATGGCCCAGATGCACAGTCCTCAGGCCTGTCTTGGACACCCCCCACTCTGTCTCCAGAATGCACACGGCCTCTGTAACACTCCTTGGCCAGCCCCAGACCTGGCTTCCTCTTGAAGAGGGTGACACACAATTGTGCCTGGCTCCTCCATGGCCTTGACTGACTGACTCACTTCCTGTCTGTGAAATGGAAACACAATGAGGCACCTGACCCACAAAGTGGGCGGGTTAGAGGAGTGTATGGCTGGATGGTGGGCTGGGCCTGGGGGCAACTTGGCCCGTGTGGTGAATGGAACCCCTCAAAGGCAATATCCTCAGGTTGACGGGAAGGCAGAGGCATGGGGCTGAGTGTCCACAATAGCCGTTGGAGGGAAATCACTGCCTCCCACGCCCCATTAATGGAGCTGCTGCCCCCAGAACAACTGCTGCCTCCACCCATGCCCTGAGGGACTTGTGAACCTGGAGAGAACATCTGTTGGGAGGCCCAGAAGTGGGAGATGCCAGCCCCCTCTCCAGCCCAGCTCCCAGGCAGGTGGAAGCCAAATCCGTCAGTGTCTTCTGTTGGCCTTGCTCCTCCATCCCTGATTCTCAGTTTCTTCCTCTGCTGAGATCACCCAGGGTGGTCCACAGGAGGGAGGGACCAAAGCTGGAGACAGGAGGGCTCACCTGCCCATCAGGCCACAGGAATCATGTGCGTCCTAGCTCAGACCCAGGCCCCCAGCAGGTGGGAACATCTTAGAACTGCCCCATTCAGCACCACCCCCCTGGTACTGCCATCCCCACCTGGGAACATCGCTGTCACTGTGGACTTCGGGGCCTGGAAAAACCTCCTCTTGCTCACAGGAGCTGCCTCGTTTTCCCCTTTCTGCTGGTGAGGGGGCTCTCTGTGCCCCTTGAAGTCCTGCTGCCACCTTCCCAGGGGCACAGCCTGCCAGACCCCACTTCACAGAAGAGACACGGGTTTAGAACAACCAAGCTGCCCACCTGAGCTCAGACCCAGGGTTCCAGGACCCACAATTCCGAGTCCAGGCCCTCCCACACCCTCCTGGACACCGCGTCCCCCGCCCCCCTGCCCGCGATTCTTTTCTTTTCTTTTTTTTTAAGATTTTATTTTTATTTATTTTTAGAGCAAGTGAAAGGGAAGGAGAAAGAGATGGAGAGAAACTTCGATGTGTGAGAGAGATGTTGATTGGTTGCCTCTTGCACTCCTCCAACCGGGGACCTGGCCTGCAACACAGACATGTGCCCTGACTGGGAATCGAACCAGTGACTTTCCCTTGGCAAGCTGGTGCTTAACCCACTGAGCCACACCAGCCAGGACACCCCACCTTCTTGCCCCAAGTCCCCAGACCCACTGGGTCTCACTCTCTAAGCCCAGAAGCTGAGTGGACGAGCTTCTTTCAAAAAAAACAAAAAGCCTCATGGCAAAACATAGCATTGCCCCTTCAAAGCTGGCTCCCAAGAAGCCCAGGCAAGGCTAGTGGGGATGGGGACAGGGACAGAGGCCCCACACATGGGAACATCATGGGAACACCGTGTTCCCTACACCGTGGGCAATGAGGTTGATGAGGATCAGGGGAGGGTGGTTAGAGCCCGAGATGCCTGGCGGGGGTAGGCGCCAGGCCCAGAGGCCCCATCCAGGCCAGCACAGCTGGGTCCACCTTGACTGCGGTGTTCCAGTTAGCGGGGGAGTATCAGGGTTAGCAGGTACCCTGCATAGTACCCACTCTGCACAACAGTGGCCCTCTGCACAACGGGCAGCATGGGACACAAGGGATCTGGACATATCTCCCAGCAGGGACCCACCTGGCCCAAGGAGGGCAGGCAGGGTGAGCAGGGAGGGTAGACTGTGTGCCACCATCAGTGAGGCCCTGGGACAGCCAAGCCAGGCTGCACATGCAGACACACGTGTTCTCCACAGACCGGCTAAAGACAGATGTGCACCCCACAGGGACGCACACATTCTCCCCATGCACAAATATACAGATGTTGATACGCACACATACCGCCAGACCCCACACACATTCCACACACAGACGTGCTCCTGTAAATATGTTCCACTCTCCACATGCGTACACTCCAGGCATAATCAATAGACATGTGTGAACACGCCAGGGCCGCCATGCATACGTAGGCATACATGTCACTCTGCCACATGAACCAGCGTATGCACCATACACACAGACATGCACCTCCCAAGGTCCCCAGAACCCCTGCATGTCAGGGACAAGAACACACATTGACACAGACACACCCTGCACCCCCTGCGCCCCCCAAACCCCCCCGTGAGCACAGACGCACATGCAGCCCCATAGTCAGCCAGTCGCCAGGCCAGGTGAGGGCAGCTGGCCCAGGAGCTCTGGCCCAGTGACGCCCAGTGGCCAGTCTGGGGATGGAGATCAGCTGGTGGGGGTGCCGGGGGAGTGTGGCTGGACTGGCAACAGGGCGCCAGCCTATGAGCGTGTGGAGGTGGGTGCGGGGCTCCCTCTGCAACGAAGTCCACAGGCCACGATCTGCACGGCAGGAGGACATAATTTGGAAACGGCCACACACTTACTACCTCAATGCAGGTAGGCACCAAGGCCCAGCCGGGCAAGGGTGGCTGGCCTCACCACAGTGCCGCCGGTGCCTATCTGTCCCCATCTGAGCACAGTCACCCCTCAAGCTCCTTTCTTCTCTTTTGCCCATCTGTCCTCAACTCAAGCTGCCCAGTCCTGGTTGAGTCCCCTTCCTCATAGTGCCTTTTGTGTGTGCCACACAGGCTCAGCAGCCTCCCCCTCTTGTTCTGTGTTTCCTCAGCCTGCCACGACCACTGAGCTCTCTGATTTGACCCCACCGTTGTCTCTCCCCAACCAGGCCTGTCTCTCATCCCTGTCCCTGGTATTGTCGCACGTCTCAGGCCTGATCCCTGACCCTGCACCTCTCCCCAGGCCACAGTCCCTGGACTGGCTGCCCTCAAACCCTGAGGCCGAACACCACTCCTCCACCTATGCCTGAAGCACCTCATCTCTGGGCGCAGGTCCTAGTTCAGCAACCCCTGGACACCAACCCTCCCAAGCGGTCCCCAGGCATCAAGGCCCCCTTTGGCAGAGCCCCCCAACATCAGCAATGAATAGAGCCCAGTCCCACTCAACACCCACAAGATGTCAGGGAAATCACCTCTCACCCGGGATGCCCCAGGCAAGAGGAGGAGAGGGAAGTGAGAAGAGCGTGTGGGGCAGGGTCTGCACCAGACAAGCAAGGCCGTTACTTCAGGCAGCCCGTCAGAGCAGGGCTGTCAGGTCAGCAACAGGAGGTGGCTGAGTGGCAGCACAGTCAAGACTGGGTGCCTCCTCTCCCTGGCGGGATCCTGCCGGCAGCACAGTCCTGTGGCAGGTGGGGTGGAGGGCTGTCCCAACGACCCCCTTCCATCCCAGTTCCACATTTGTTTGGCATTTGCTAGAACAAAGGACAGGCCATGACAGGGACAGGAATTTTGGAGTTGAAACCAAAAACTTGGGCTGGGAAGCACTGCCCGCTGGGCTCCCTGCTCAGCCGGCTGCAGGGAAGAGCCTTAATCAAATCCACATGTGACCAGCGGGGCTAGAGGCAAGGGGACCGGCTCCAAGGTGGCCTGGCTGGCCCTCCTTGGCACCGGCTCTCTGTCCTGGGCCCCAGGGTCCGACCCCACAGCTGGGTAACTGAGGGGAGTGCCTGGGTGTGCTCCCTGCCCCCACGGCGGACACTGGCCACCCTTGTCCTAGAGACTGCCTCAAAGACCGCTGTTTATACAACTTTTGGCCCAAGGATTGAGGACAGGAGAAGACAGTGGCGGGGGCGGGGGGGGGGGTACAGCAGGCTTAGAAGGGCACTCAGCAGGGTTTGGGAAAAAAGAGAGTGACCAGTGGCAGAGGGACAGGGAGCTGGGAGTCCGGCTGCCTCAGACCTCCATGTGCAATGCAGCCACCATGGGAAAGCTGTGTGACCCTATGTGCTAGAGCTGACAATGAAGCCACAGGACCTCAGAGCTCTCTCTCCCATGGGACCCCCAGCCCGATCTGGCCTTCAAGACCCAGGGACAGCCCAGAGGTTTCTGCTGATATCCAGGATGTGGTCAGTCACCAGCAAACTTTTCTCATTTTGTCTAATGGGGGCTTTTGCTACCCCCCAAATTGTACTTGGCGCCCAGCACTGAGGAGGTTGTGCAGACATGCAGGCGTTGGCACATAGGGAGGCTGGGCACAAGGCCCCCTGGGTCCCTAGCCCAGCTGTTCCCTCACCATGACCTTGAGCCAGTTGCTCACCTCCTCTGCCCCTCAGTTTCCCCATCAGAGCTAGGATGGGTGAGGGTACCACTGAGTCAAGACTGAGGACTGACCCCTAGTTCTTTAGGTACCTCAGTCTCCCCTTTCCTACAAAGCACTGAACAGAAACCTCCTAGACTGAAAGTGGAAGCTGGGTCATCCCAACTTCCTCAAGTTATTCTGGGGACCTGCTGGCAGGGGTCCGGGGCGGGGCGGGAGTGGGGAGACATACAGTCCCCTATCTTCAGTCACAGCTCAGTGCGAAGGTCCCCGGGGATCCCCACCAACTCCAAAAGGAGGTTCCCTGGAGAGGCCCAAGAATGAGATCCCCCAAGTCCCGAAGGGAACTTAGGGCTGCATGGCTTCTGAGGGTGCCAGAGGGGATCCCCAAACTCCTGGGGATGGCGGCGCTCCGGGGCACGCGGGCGCAAGTCCCCCAAGACTGCAAGGCAATGGGGCACCCAGGAAGGAGGCAAGAGCAGTGCGAGTCCCCCAAACTCCGGAGGGGCCGGGACTCCCTGGGGGCTCCTGCGGGGACCGGGTGCCCCCACTCTGGAAGCAGTGCGCTAGGAGGGCGCCCAGAGCTCAGGGCAGAGAGGCCGGGCCGGGCCGGGGGACATCCTGGTTCCCTCAGCGCCCCGTCCCCACCCGCGCTCACCTGGGGTTGCTGCGGTTCCAATAGACGGCATAGCGGTCCGAGTTGGCTCGGGCGGCGTCCTCGGAGCGCGCTAAGGGCGGCGACGGCGGTGGCAGGAGCAGCAGCAGTAGCACTGGCAGCAGTGGGCGCTGCGCGGGCGCCATGGCCCGGGTCCGGCCGCCGCGCTCGCCTGGCCGCCGCCTGCCAGCCGTCTCCGCCTCCTCCTCCGCCGCCGCCGCCGCCACCACCACCGAGCAGGCGGGAGCAGGGCGGGCAGGAGGAGGGCGCGCCAACGCTTGGAGATCCCTGGCCGCCCCCGCCTGGGCGCGCGACCTCGGGCGCCGAAAAGTCAGGCGGCGATGGGCTGGGCGCCGGGGTCGCCCCGGGCGCCGGCCCAGCCGCAAGGACTCTCGGAGCGCGGGCCGCCACCGCACCCGCTGAAGAGGGGCCGGGGCTCCGGCCTTTGTCCCTCCCGAGCGCCGGGAGGGCCGCGGGCGCCCCCTCCTGCCGTGCCCCGGCCAAGCGGGGGTGGGCGGGGGCTGCTGCTTCAACCGCGCCCCCTGCCCCAGCCACAGCGTCCCGGTCTGGTCCATGTCTCGCTGCCTGGACCCCCCGAATCCTGCCCCTGCGACCCCATCATTATCACGTGGCCCTGACCGAGGTTCCCTGAGTTCCTCTCTGTCACCTCCATTCAGGCCACCAAGCCTATCTGCAGAGCCAGGCAGTTCCAGGAGCAGGAGTCAGAGAGATGACTCACTCCCTTCACGCCCCAGCATTCAAGCCCAAATCCTGAACCAGGCTGAGCCAACTCCTTGCCCAGACTCCAAATTCTAAACCATGCCAAGCCAACTTCACCTCTCCGGTCCCACCTGGTGGAGATTTGCAGTCGGGCTGACCAAAGTCCACTACTGCTCCTCTGGGAGCTCCTGGGATAGTCACTTCCCTCTGGACCTCTGTTTTCTCATCTGGGAAATGGAACAGGAGTCCCTGCCTTGATACCCTCAGCAGATAAGTCAACATGTAGAAGCCTGACAAGGGGAGAATGAGAAGGGCGTTCAGGCAGAGGACACAGCTTATAAGCAAAGGCCTGGAGTGAACTCAGAGTGATCATTCCTGGTGCACTGACCTCTAGTTCCGTCTTTATGTCACAGCCTCCCCATCAGACTGAGCTTGTGGAGGTATGCTGCCACTAAGTACTAGCTGAAAAATACCAGTGGTGCCCACTCATCACTTGCTGGGTTTTCCTGGCTAAGGCCTGCTGCAGGATCCAGAGCCAAGAGCACTTAACTGGAAGTTCCCCATGTGATGGATAGTCGAAGCTCCTCATTTGGAACCATGAAAGGCCAGAAATGGGCAAACTAACCTTCCACCAAGACCCATCCCAGCCACACACCTCCACTGTGTTGTGGGCATTTCATGTGTCCCCTGAGCTTCGACATAACTTCACTTTCCTGCCTTTGGTTGGCTGTACCCAGAGTCCCTCCCCTTCTCTTCTCATTAAAAAATTCTGTTCCTCCTTCAAGCCCTGTCCTACTCTGTGCCCCCACACCCCACAGGATAAGGTTCTCAGTCCTTTGTCCTCTAAGGACATCAGCCCAGTCTGTTCTGGCTGTGGGTCCTGTCGTCTGACCTGACTGCAGATGCCCGTCCCAAGGCTGGCCCAATGGCTTTGAGGAGGTGGCAGGAATCTGCCCACAAGAAATGGTTGGGGCAAACCCAGGAGGCCCAGATCTGGCCCAGGGTACCTGGCAGGGCCTTCAGACAAACTCTCTGGACACCCCTGGAGCAAGGGCTCAGCCCAGCTGGCTAGCCAGCTCTTTGGGGAGCAGAGGGGCAGCCACTTCCTAAGCAGAGGCATGGTGGCTGAACCCAAGCACAGAAAGCGCTGCCACACGCCCAGTGTACCAGCATGCCTGGCCCAGCCCAGCATTCTGCTTGGCAAAGGGGGCCCTTCCAGAAGCCTCCTATGCTGTTGGAGAACCCTCCTAATTTATTGAACCTCACAGATCGAGTGGGGGATTTCTGTGAAACCTAGCAGGATTGGGCCTACACAGGAAAGCAGGCAGGGCACCCTGGGCAGAGGAGACCTACTCCGAAAAGGCCAGCCTCATGTCAGCTCATTTGCATGCAGGGGCCACCAAGGAAAGGCGCAAGCCACCTCTGCTGAGAGCTACCACTGCCGCCTCCGAGTGGATTTCAGCTGAAGCTCCGTTTTCCTTCTGTTCTTGTCTCTCTCAAGGTCAGAGCTACAGCACGGACAGGAACAAAAGCATGTGTCCCCCATTCGATCTCTCTTCCCCTGGAAGGGCCCAGGGAGGGGAGGGCTGGGCAGCTCTGAGGCCTGGCTCCGGGCAAGGCAGGGGTGGAGGCATGGGAACAGCTGTCCAGATGCTCACGGGCACCCAAGAGGCCCTGTCCCCACCCAGAGCTGGGGGCTGTCGAAGCCTACAGCCTCAGCAGGCAGAGGATCAGCTGGGAGCAGGGGTCATTCTGGAGTAAGCTTCCTTTGGAGTCGAGCTGGACTTCAGGCTCACTCTGGGGACAGGGTTTAAATCTTGGGTTTAATGCTCAGTCAGTCAGGGGTCAGCCAGGGTCTTCTGTCAGCCCCAGGCTCAGAACAGGGTCTCTGATGAGAGTCTATCCCCATCCACCTAGGTCTACACTCTTGGGCTCAAGGGTGTGCCCCAGACTCAGGAAGGATCTTGTTTCAGCCAAACCTGGTCCCTAGCCTGTGCTCAGCACCACTGGCTCAGCACCCAGTATCCACTGACCCCTGACCCAGTACCAGCCACCCACTTACCCCAGTCCAGCACCCAATGACCACTGACCTGCCACCCAGTACATGGGACAAGTCCCCAGGGTGGGGATCAGTGCCCAGTATTCGGCCTCCAAAGGCCATGGTGCCATGAAGAAGGCTAAAAATATGTGGGGGTCAATTTCTCATTACAGAATATATTGGATCAAATCCACAGCCTGCTCTGGCTCCATCGGTTTTCATGTACCCCAGATCAGCCAGGCTGATTTCTGGCAGAGCAGGGTGGGGGCCTCAGCACGCTGGGCACTCCACTGACCCCAGTCAGGGAGGATCTACACCTGGGATAGAGGGGCCAAGAATTCCCCCAGGCTGTGGGGCTGTTGGCTTCTGTCATTGAAAATAAAAATGTATCCCTTTGTTCTGCTGATAAATGAAATTTCCCACCCTTGTGTCCAGCCAGGCCCTTCAAACAGCCCAAACCTAAGATTCTTGCAACTGCAAAGTCCAGAGACTAAATGGGCCCCAGACCCCTGCTAGTTCCCTTCTCCCCCTTACCCTCCCTCCTTCCTTCCCACCCTTCCAGCCCCAGACCTGGACTGAGACCAGTCCTCCATGGTGACCACCCGCCAGTCTGGGACTAGACTTCTTTTGAGGACGGAAACATTCCAGATCTTTGCTGTCACATAAGAGTCCCAAGCTGCCCGTGGCTACTGGGCACATGAAATGTGGCCAGTGTGACCAAGAGCAGAGCTTTTAATTTCACTTTGAGTGTAAACGTAAACAGTACATGTGACTACTGTGCTGGGTAGCACAGCTCTGGGTGCACATGCACAGCCACACCTGCCCGGGATCAGGACATCATTAGGGGGAGGGGGTGGATAGCAGTTCAGACTCCTCCTGGGAGGATGAGGTGGGGCACTGAGCCACCAGAGAGGATGGAGGATCAGAGGACTGCTGTCCTGGGAACCTCAGGAGGGCACAGCTGCTTCGCTTGCTGACACCAGGCGAGAGGGATGTGGGCCCTACTGGGTGGTGGGACCATGTCCTTGGGAGCCCACATCAGAGCCAGCAGAAGAACCCCCACCTCCTGGAAGACAACTTGATTACCACTGGCCACTGGCCCCAGGCAGCCAGCCACAAGCTACCCCTTTAATGAGCCAAGGTGTCCGCCTGCCACCTGTCCACATTCCTAAGATGGAGAACTCATATAATGGTCAGTCAGGAGCTGGAAACCCCAACCTACCCACTGAGGGGACAGGTTTGCTGCATGTCCAGTGGGCGTGTACGTGTGGGGGTGGAGGTACTGAGAGGGGCCTCAAGGGTGCAGGTTATGGGTTGCACACCCCAATCCGGCACCACTTGGGATCTGTTGGAGGTGGTATGCGTGCATGTGTGTCCTGTGTCCATCCCATGAGTCCATGTCATGTGCTACATGTGTCCTGTGCCTGCATGTGACTGTGAAGAAAGTGCTAGAAGCCCCTCCATGCTCAAATGCATGCACGCGCGTGCACACAGGCCCTCAAGCCACCAGGAACCCAGCCTTTTATCTTGTGCTGACAGGCCCCTCTCTCGGCTTTTAGCCACTGAGAACTTCCTGCTAATACTGCATTAACCTTGGAGGGGGCTGCCAATTACTCCACATTAATGCAGGGGGTGCGTGGTGAGGCTGACAGGCACTGACAGGTGCCAGGGCCTGGAAGCAAGGGGCACCCCTCCCTGCCCCATGGGGTGGGCAGGAGGCAGCGGGGCTGGAGAGTGTGCAGTGTGTTCCCGGCTCCGGATGGCAGACGTGGGGTCTCTCCTGACCTCATTAGAGTAATTAATGTGCCTTTTGAAGCTGAAGAAATCGCTCAGAGCTGTGGGAGAGGGACACAGATCACAGGGTGGGGGGACCCACATGGTTTCTGTGCACCTGTTAAAAGCATGTCCCAGTGGTTCAGACAGGGAGAGAGACGGAGAGCAGAAAGAGACTGAAACGAAGGGAGACCAAGTGAGAGGCTATGCAGATACAGAGACAAAAACAGGGAGGCGGGCAGGGCCCCGGAAGTGGGGAAAGACAGAAATGTGTGCAGAGGGGTGGGGGCAGATAGGGAGGGAAGAGCCAGAGCCCAAGAGGCGGGGGTGTGACATCTGGGGCTGGGGCCTCCAGGGGACTCTGGCCTCATTCCTTCAATCTTCCCTGGAGGATCTGCTGATCCCTCAGTGCAGGACCCTCCCAAAGAATGGTGGTGGGCGTGGGCAGGAAGCAGTCACAGAGAGAAAACTTCCTGGAGGTGGAGGGGGAAAGGGAAGCAGAAATGTGAACAGAATTGGAAGGCGCAGATAGAAATGCCAAGGAAGCAGAATGGGGATCAGCTCAGAGAACCAGAGATGAAGAGAGGAGTGACGAACTGATGGCAGAGATGGCAACAGGCAGGGACCCAGGCTCAGCCCTGGTGAGGAGGGTCAGTGGGGCTGAAGGACAGGCCCAGGAGGCTGATGGATCAATCCCCAGTGGGCTTGGCCCATCCCACAGGGCACATGGGAACAGGTGAGGCTCAGGAGCAGGGCTCCCCAAAACAGAGTCCCCCAGTGGAGCTATTTCCCCACCTGTACAAGCAGATGAGTCCAGGCCACAGCATGGCCCAGCACGCCTGTGGGGCAGAGGCCAGACAACACAAGGCTACCACCTAGTGGCTGTTCCCCCTAATGACATGGCCGTAGTAGCTCTGGCCAGTGGCTGGGGGGGAAGACCTCACAGTCATAGGGCTGCCAGAGACCAGCCCCTCCCCTCAGCCCCTCCTCTCCATCTCCAGGATCATTTACAGGGGGCAGGGGTGACAGAGCTGAACCCTGCCCATAGTGACTTGAAGGAAAAACAAAGCCCACAGAGGAACCCATCAACCTTCACCAGGAATGAGATTGGGTGCCTGGGTGGGGTTAGGTTAATTAATGAGGATGACAGAGAAGGGGCATGTTGGTGTGAATGGGATGAGGTGAGTATCCCAGAGAACATGACCTTTAAGGGGCCCTACACTGAAGGCAGTACAGAAGAGGGAGCCCCTATATAGGGCCTTTGATGCATGAATAGGCCCAGAGGCAATGACTGGGAGGCCCCCCCATTTCTGTCTACCTCGCAGAACTCCCTAGGACCTCTGGAGAGCTGGGGCCAAGGCCAAAGAAACCCAGCATGGTCACAGATCAGAAAAGCCAAGCCTGGATCAAGCTCTGTTCTGCTCTCTACCCCGTCTGTGAGCCAGGATGCCAGGTCTGGCGCAGTATGGAGTTGGGTGACAGCTACAGAGCCATTGCTGCCTTTATTGTTCTCAGCCCAGTGGGAAGGCACTCCCAGACAGGACCATTAGCCCACCTGCCTGCCAGGCCTCAGCTGCGTCCCCACGGGGGAGGGTCAGTGGCGTAAGTCACAGTCCAGCCATAGGGTCTCAGAATCCTGGATGGGGCTGCTGGAGGCCCCTCTGGTTCGCACCTGGCATCCTGGGTGGTCCTGTGGCACTGGAGGGCCAAGGTGGCTTCAGGCGGGCTGGGCAGGTCCCACTCGAGCTCTCAGGCCAGCAGGAGAATTGCCAGGTATGTAGGCACTGGGAGTGGGCCCTGTCTCTTGTCCTTCCCCCAAGGCTGCTGGGAACACTGCCTTCCCGACCTGAACGTCTGGAAGATGAGGGGTAGGGGTGAGAAGTGTGGAGCAAAGGACCTACCCTTATCCACTCCCCCACACTGTGCCTAAGACTCACCCTGCAAGTAACGAGGAGCCTTCTTAACTGTCCAGCAGCTGCCCCCAGGTCAACTAGGGTCCACCTCCCCAAGCTTGCCAGGCCCTGCCTGACTGCATCTTGAGGGAAGGGAGAAGGGGGAAGGGGGAAGGGGGAAGGGAGAAGGAGTTCCCTAGCTACAGAAGGTAGAGGAGACCAGAGAGGCTACCACATCATAGCAACGCCTCCCCAAGGGAAGCCTGGAAAGCAGAACCATACCCTGGTCTCCTGACCTCAGCATCTGCACACCCAACAAGCTGGGCTTAACAGCCGTCACTCCATGCTCAGGCCCAGTCCCAGTTCTGTGCCCAACAGCCCCTGGGTCCTCAGTCCTGCCCTCCTCCTTCCTTCCTGCCATTCCCTTTGTCTGCTATGCTTTTCCTGGGGCTGGAACCATGAAGAGGCCACCCAACCCACCCCCTCTGCAGCACTCTGCAGTTAATTCTCCATCTCTGATGATGATGTTGGTCTCCTGGGTTGGGCCCAGAGCACTGACTCAAGACTATGGCCCCTTCCCATCTGAAAGAAATGGGAAACTGAGACTGGGAGGGGCACATGTCTTACCCAAGGCCACACCGCCTGGTCACATGTAGATGACCTCAAGGATCAATGGTCTTTCCAGCCCTCCAACCTTGCTCCACCTACCCACCCAGAGCTTCTGGAGATGAGGGGAGGACTTCACTACCATCTTAGATTTCTGGTCTCAAAGACGGTTTCTTCACTGCTGTCCAGCGAGGCCATCTCTGTGGGGTCCTCGGTGTTGGCGAGGAGGCCGTAGCTCCTCCGCTGGGGCTTCTTCGACCTGGAAGTAGTCCCAGGTGCCATCAGTGGTTGTCTTGGGTCACCTCCAGGGGCGGCTGACACCCCATCCAGCTTCCTGCGCTCTCCCATGATCCTCCATTGTCTCTGCTCTCACCTCCTCTGACCAACCCCCAAAGCTTTGCTGTGAAGCTTCCTTGTCTAATCGTGTTTCTTTTGCTTCATAATGCCCATAGTAATTATTAGTGACTCTTATGCCAATAATGAGTGGACGCTTTCTCTGACAGGACCCTTGGCCAGGACCTCTGGCGGGGGTGGGGGGGGCTGTTATCCCACTCTACTGATGAGAAAACAGTCTCAGAGTGGGGCGAGGGGTACAAGCAACACTAAACTGAGAGCTGTCTGTCTCAAGTGCAAGCCCTCGCTCCTGACCACCTCCAGGGAAATGACGGGGTTTTCTGCAGAAGATGCAGCAAAACCAAGTACTAGGAGGGAACAAGAGCATTGTGCACCCACAGGAGTGACAGTGGGAGATAAAAAGGGCCCCTTTAAAGCGTCTGAACAAGGTCAGCTGTGTGTAACAAAGGCCCTCTGGAGGTCAGACCCGAACAGGAAGCGAAATAGGGAAGCCAGATACTGAACCAGAACCCGACAGGACATGTGGGCCACGGGGGAGGAAAAGGAGTCCTCAACTCTCTGGAAGGAACACCGGTGGAACCAAGAAACTGATTGCTGGATAAGGAAGGAGCGGTTCAGTCCTGCCGTGCCCAGCCCTGCCCAGCGGGCCCTCCTCTCCATTCTCTGGGCTGGGTGGCTTAAAGGGGAGGGTGCGGCTGGTGGGGATGGCGGACTCAGGTGGGGCTGGTGGGTGTCGCCTGGTACAGGGAACTGCAGAAGAAACAAAGCAAGCGCACACCAACCCCCACCCGCACTGTACGGCCTGGACTGCTGCAACCGTGACTGTAAGTGCTGAGGCCTCACGTGACCCACGTCACCCACTCAGACCACGTGACCACACCCGCCATCCACGCTGTCTGGAGGGTGAGGCGTGTGCTGGTTGGGCTCGCTAGGGAGGTGGTAGCGTGCGCCTGACGTACCTGAAAGCCCGGATGAGGAAGTAGAACGCAGCCAGGCTGCTGAGGCCAGTAAGCACGTAAAAGGCACGCAGGAGAGCCGAGCCCCGCGAGCCCGGCGGCTGCAGGTGCGTGCTGTTGTGCAGCGCAGCTGGCTGGCTCCCGTTCGTTATGGCTCCTGGTGGCGAGAGCATTGTCGGCTCGGAACTCAATATGGAACTGGCTTCCTGGGCTCCACAGAGCAGCGCCGGCAGGAGCAGCACCACCACCACACCCAGCCCCATGGCCCTGCGGAAGCGGTGGCTTCGGCCCGCCCCCGCAAGCTTCTGTCCGTCACTGGCACAGGGCGGTACCAACCAATAGCTCACCGGGGGCGGGGCGGGGCATTCACAAACGCCCCGCCCCCACCAACCTCGCCTCACCTCGCGTGTCCTGGACTTTTCCCACAGTGCTCTGCGCCCCGCCAGCTGTGCGCACCATCCTGCGGGCTTCAGCCTGGAGGCTGACTTATTCCTCCCGTCGCAGAGCCACAGCCACGCTGTACTCCCAGCCAGAAAAGCAGGGCGCTTTGGAGAGCAGGCCACAGGCCACACGGGAACCGGTGCCTTCGCAGGAAGGAGGCTCCCGATTGTATAGCAGGGTCAAAGATCCGCGCAAGGAGCAAGGCCATGCCAAGCTCAGCACAATACCCAGAGTTTCTCCCACAGGGGCCTGAGAACTCTTGCTGTTTTGGTCCCCAGCCCGGCTCCTTTGCCGAGGGATAGGCCCTTCAGGAGAGTAGGCATGCCTGTCCCAGTCTGGGCATTCTGCCCTGGGTGCCGGTGGGGGATACCTAGGCCATCCTGATCCCACTGTGTCGACCTTGGGTCCACTGCCACCACCCACCCTCCCCTACCCACCTTGCTCAAGAGTTGAGCAGATAAGCCCAAGGCCTCAGAATCAGGGCCCAACCCTATGGGGCTTTCCAAGCCACCAGCTCAGGAACCCTATGGGCAACACAGATGATGGTGCCCGGAGACCACCACCTCCTCTTCCTCTCAAGGCTGAGTGTGCCCCCAAGTGAACTCCAAGAAGACAATGAAATGACTGGCTGGTCTGGTTTAGCCCAGCTAGTACCCTGAACCAAGACCAGAAAAGGCTTCCTCTAGGGGAACCCCACTTCCCACCCAGCCTTCGCCAGAGGCTCAGGAACCCACCTCCTCAGCCACACCCCAAACAGACTCATATTTCTGGGTAGACCAGTCCTTTATTCAAATCTGACTTCCATGTTCGGTCATACTCTTGCAGGTGAGGACTGGCCATGTGCAAGCTGCCACTCATTCGCCCTCCTGGAGTGACTCGAAGCCCTCTGCTCCAACCTTGCCAATGAAGCCCCTGCTGGATAAACGAGGAAGGAGTGAAGGGAAAACTAGAGCTGGTTCCAGTAGGGGGCACACACAGAAAGGTGCCCCCAAAGGGTGCTGTGGGTTGGGCAGGAAACCAGAGAGAACCCACAGGAGGGACTAGACACTGCCAGGACCAGAGGACTGTGTGTCACCCCGCAGAAAAGAACTTACAGGTGACAGGCTGCAGGAACAGGGGGCTTGTGCATTTGGCTCCTGCTCCCAGGTGAAGTCCCTCTTGGGACAGTACCCCAGATCATCACTGCAGTTGGGCCACCCTTCCGAGTTGCACTGGCTTCCCTTCAACCTGCCAAAACAAAGGAGTGTTACCACAGGAACTTTGACATGCTCACAGCTGCCCCTCCCCACCTCCCCCGAAACCATCCACAGCTCTTAGGAGGGTCTCAAGCTAGTCATCGGGCCATCATGGGTTGGCCTGAGCCTTGACCAGGCCGCATTCCATCCCTAAGCAGAGCCAACTACCCATTTGGGATGGGCTTAGAGAATGGTGTGGGATCTGGGGAAAAAAACTCATGGTGGCAACAGACATCAGAGAGCTATAGATAGAAATGTGACTTAAGAAGGTCAGGAAAACACTGTCAATTGATGAACAAAAAAGCCAAAAGGCAGGATGCTCAGCGCTCTCCAATCCTGCTTACAGATTGAACCTACTCGTGAAGCGCGACTGCCTGGCCTGCTTGCCTGGCTGCAGGCGGGGAAGGGCTAACGGCCGGGATCTGACTTTAGTTCCAGTTTGGTTTTTTAGAAAAAGTAAAGAAAATGGAAAAGCAAAAAACAGTCAAAGAAACATTACCCAGGCACATAATTTTACTTTCAAATGAGCTCTTGACAAGAGGAGGGATGTGGACACGAGCAAAAGGAGTTACCTCGAATTACAGGGCTATTTCCACATATGAGCTAGCCAAGGGAGCAGCTTGCGTCTCAGAGGTTTCTGTTGGGCGCACAACACTTCTGTCCTCCGAGGGGCTGCAGCTTCCATAGGCTAGCGGAGAACTCTCAGAACTTGTAAAGCAACAGCAGAGCTAGCTAACAAGCAGTCAGTCTGCGGTCGCCCAGGGACACTGCCTGCAGTCTGCTCCCTGGCCTGCTTCTAGGCTATGCAGTCAGGTCAACGTCAAGTGCCCATGTGTCTACTGTCCCTGCTGAGCTGCCTGCCCCATCAAGCCCTCCGGATGCCACCACTAGAAGCCTCCCAGGGCTGCCTCTAGGTCCAACCTGCCCACTCCTGTCACCCACCTGCTCACCTAACCAGGACCAGTGGCAGTCAGCTGTCACAGGGGCCTGCCAGCATCAGTTTGCTCTGCCTTCCTGGTCTAGCTCTCTGCCGGCCTCAGGCAGGACTTGCAGGCCTGCTTCTCAAATTGCCCTCTCTTTTGAGGTCTGAGTGCCAAGAGCTAGCAGCAGCAGTGTGTTGAGCAATGAAAGGGAAATTGTCAGAGCAAGATTCATTTCACACGGTCCTTTAATCAGCTTCGTAAAGCCAAATAAACTGTGTACAAGAATTCCTTAACCACTTCAAATACAACATCAATGGGATATGCGTACGTCTTCCAGTAAAAAAGGACAATATAAATAAACATTTTCAAGAACCTCTCAGGGACATCTTCGAGTCTACTGTGAGCTGTACACAGCAGATGGGCTGTACAGGTTGGGCCCAGACAGCCAGGCACCTCTGCTGCCACCTGGGGCGGGTCCTTCCATGCTACACTCAGAAACAGTACATGGAATTGGAAAAAAGCTACAGCCTGCTCAGCTTCGAACAAACAGCGGATTCAGAGTCTGTCCAATCTCAGAGAGACTTGAATCGGGTGAGGGGCGGGGGAGCCAACTTCACCAGGCCAAACCCACTAAAAAGGGAAATAAAAAAAGACAACACAACCAAAACCAAAAAAACCCCCACACAACCCCCAGTGATTTTCTCAAAAACTTACGGCTCATGGTGGGGGAATAAGAAAAAAAAAAAGTAAAATCTGAAGTGCTTTTCAAAAACGTTTTTAAAACCCTTAAAAACGGACAGCGCTTCCTTAAAAAAAAAAAAAAAACTCTAATAAGCCATCTGGGGGTCAGAAGCAGTCAGGCTGTGTTTTGACAAGATCAGAACTGGTAAGACTACAAAAGTGGGTACAAGGAGGTGTGTTCACTACACATTAACGATTCAGCGAAGCTCCCAAAATCTTTAAATATACAGCCATTGGAAGGACGATCTTGAGCAGGAAGGATTTTTACTCGTTGTGTGTAGCTGAGAACAAGAAGCAGGTACAGTGTAAAAGCACTGAAGCACGCAACAAGAGGCAGCATTCCACTCCCGGGGCCAGACCTAAAGGGCTCAGCCCTGTGGCCTCGGGAGCAACCAACCCCCCCCGACAGCTGAGGGCAGCGGGGCTGGGTGGCCACACATGCACTTATGCTGCCTGCTCGGCGGGCCCCTCGTCTCCCTTTCCTTCTTGGTCAATCTGGTCTAGCTTTTATGTTTTGTGGTAGAAATGGCTGCTGGCATGGAGACCTGAGAGGGTAATCTCGTCCCTTATGGGCAAACACAGTGACAAGGTCTGAGTGATGCTCACAGAGGGTGCCAAAGCTTGCTGAGCTCCCACCACAGGCCCTCGGAATGTGACTTACCATAACTGTCGTAGCTGTCTCTATAGGACCCTCCTGAGCTCCGGTCGCCATAGCCACCACCCTGACTCCGGCTGTAGGAAGGAAACACGTGGGTGCTGGAGGGCACCTTAGACTACTCAACCCAACCTTGTGCCAGCATTCCAAAGCAGCCTGCCACACACACTCAGGCAGGACCACATCCTCACCTGCTGTAGTCTCTGGAGCCCCCATAGCCCCCACTCCTGGACTCGAACCGGCTCCCCCCATAGCCTCGGTCCCCTCCTCCTATGGACAGGGACAGGAAGGACAAGTGAGTGCCAGCCCCTTCCAGCAGTGTTCCCATTGTGTCCTCAACGGCCTCAGGTCCCAAAGTGGCACTCACCTCTGGAGAATCCACGGCCCCGGCCTCTGCCCCCACGAAAGAAGCCTCCTCGGCTCCCAGCAGAGCCACCTCGGTACCCACGGGATCGGTTGTCAGATGACTTGCCAGCCTGGTCAACTCGGATCTGTCGCCCATCAACAGACTGTGGAGACCAAGAGGTTGGCTCAGGCCAGCTTCTGTACCTCCCTGCCCTGCAAGCCCGAACCCTCTACGTTCCCAGAGCAGCCCCAGAGCAGCGGTCCCTCACCTTCCCATTCATGGCCATCATGGCGTCCTTGGCATCATCGATGTTCTCAAAGGTGACAAATCCAAAGCCCCGCGACCGCTGGGTCTCCCTGTCTTTCACGACCACCACTGTGCAGGGAAGAGGTCTGCAATTGGCACCCAACATCCCCAAAAGTAGTCTTGCTTAGTTGCCACCAGGCCAGCACCAGCCTCACCTTCAGAAATTTGTCCATATTTTGAGAAGACCTGCTCCAGCGACTGCTCGTTAGTGTCAAAGCTCAGCCCTCCAACGAAAAGCTTGCCTTCATCTGATGCCATGGTGGCCTGTGGCAAACCGTTGAAATCCTGAGGCCCTTTAGGAGACTTCATTGTTCACCCCTCCCTCCCATTCTCCTTTATACAATATGCTCGTTAGGGACACACTGAAAAATTACCTTTCTGTCATTTATCATCTCACACCCACACCCAGAATTTAATTCAAAAAAAGCTGTTAATTCCTTCATTATTCTGGGCCCCCCGTCTCCACCCAGGGCTCTCTGAGAGCAGGCCAGATTCTTTGCACTCGGTACAGCCCTGGTGGTGGACCTCAGGTGATGCCCTCAGGAGATATTTAGGGCTGGGCACTAAAGGCAGGTATCTGCCTCCTTGTCATCTCGGTTCTTCCTTCTGCAAACAGGCGCCTAACTACTAACAGAACCACTGGGGTGGAGAAAGCAAAGTCGTTGGTCCACTGTAGGGCGCCTGTGAGGGGTGGCCAGGGACGGGCCTCTGTAGGGAGATGGGGTGGGGTCCGGACTCGTGGGGTTCCAACGTGCAATGGGCATGTGGGGCCGGTGCTAACTTGGACCCTTTCTGGGCTGGAAGAACCTCTGCCACATAGCTCCGGAAACATAGGTCTGGAAACGCTCAACTCGAACCCCAACTTGGGACGCCGAGAGGGGACTGAGGCACAGGGTCCGCGTTCAACCTCGTGCAAATTCAAGGAGAAACTGAGGAAGCAGGAGCCGGGGCCAAGGACTGCCACGTGGTCCCGCCCCAGGCCCGCCCACGCCGCGCCTGCGTCCTGCGCGTGCCCCGAGCCACTGCATCCGGGCACTCGGCTCTCCCGCCATTTCGCAGGGCGCAGCCTCGCGCTCACGGCCGCCATTTTGCGGTGGCGGCGCCCCACTTTCGGCAAGCCTAGGCCACCGAGGGGACGCCCTCCGGCTGCGGCTCGGCCATATCTACCGCCACCCCTCACCGCCGGTGGGGCGGACTCCACCCTGGGCCCGCCCCGGCACTACCCCTACCATGGGCATGCCGCCGCCCTGCCTCATCCAGTAGGCCCCTGGCCGCCCGCCGCCCGGGGCCCTAGGAGCCAGTGCCGCCAGGGCCCTCACCACAGAGTAGGGCAGGTCCCTGACGCAGGCCAGGAAAACGAAGCTGCAAAACGACCAGAGCCTCCTAACGCGCAAGTGAGGGGGGGGAGCTGGGGGGCTGCTCTTATGTACGCTGCCGCAGGACTCCACCCTCCAGGTGCCGCCCTCTGCACCGCACTGGCCAATCCCAGGCTACATGGGCAGTAGCCACGCCTTATGTTCATAAGCTATAGGCTGGGCTTGTTTAGGTCACGCCCCTTCCGCGCTCCAGTGCCTGGTGCTGTGATTGGCGAGGATACGCAGGTCCGCAGTCTCCCGCCCTCCAGCGGGGGCGGGACGGGGCGGGGCTGACCCACTTCCGTGTACCCACCTCCCGTGTGGAACAAAGGCTTCCAACAGCTGTTGCCAGAGGCTGGCGTCTCTGGGGGAACTGTGACCTTTGCTGTGCTCCAACAATTGCCTACATTTCGACCTCATCCAGGTTCCCATAGATACCACTGCCCAGCTTGTATACCTCAACAATATTTGAACCCCAACAACAGTCCTGATACACTTGTTCACATAACTAACATCCCAGCACTTCCAGGATTCCAAAGCTCCTTCTGAATGCACACCACTTCATGAGATTGGCCCCAAAGCCCACCCAAAGCCCAACATTGAGACAAGCTCATTTATGTGGACCCCAGTATTCACCACGATTCAAATTACCCATACTTACCAATTTTGGGGAACCGTAACTTCACCCAGTCCAGTTTGCCTACAAACCCAAGCTGCACCCGCCCACACCACAACAGTCGCCTATCCAAACACTTGTGCATCCCAGCTCTAGACCGCAGACAGACCCCCCCGCCTTGGCTTTTAAGCCCATCACTGGGACCAGTCCTCCAGCCCCCACTGTACCCCTCCATTGGGCTCAGCCCTGGCTTCCCCTTTTCACTAGGTGCTCCAGGACCCCTGCCCCAGTGCACCCAGGACCCATTCACTAACCCCCTAGGGAGCCGGCGCCACTCTACTCCTCCCCTTGCGTTATTTTCCTGTCTTTTCAAGGCACCCCAAGGTCTCTGCTATCAGGAGAACTATCTTTGCAGGGATCCTCAAGCCTTGGGGAGTCCCCTTTGCAGCCAACAACTGCCTTCCGCCCAGGCCTCTGCCCATGCTGCCTCCTGTGGCCCTGGACCCTTCTATGGGTGAAGGAAGTTAATGCAGTCCCCTGCCTGCCAGACCAAAGATCCAAGCTACATCCCTGCACTATAAAGTCTTCAGAGGTTCTGCGAAGTGCCCTGTTCATTTGCTCATTCCACCAGCACACATTTATTAAGCATTTACTACGATTCCGTTGCTGGTATGGGCTGCACATATACCCACGACTGTCCTGGTTTCCCATCAAGGTTTGGCCCCTACCTGTGGATCCCTGTCCCCAGGCACACTGCACTGGGCATCATGTGGGAGTTGTGTACTCGTATCACAGGTGTGTAAAATGTATCTGAATCTATTTCTGTGGTAACACGAAAACGTGTGTTCCTGTGACTCGATGTGTAACCAAAATCGTGTGTCTCCCGTGGGGTGTTCTCAAGGGGCTGGGACCACTTTAATCTCTGCCACAGTCGCTGCATCACGCTCACCCTGAGGACAGTAGGGGGCACTGCGGCCTAGCTGTCACCGGGACCCGCGTTCCGCCAGGCCCGCCGCCTCGAGTCCCAGCGTGGGAGGGGGTCTCCGTCTCGCCCCACGCCTCAGCCCGAGCGCTGCAGGGGTGGGTAGCCGGGGAGGAGGAGGCTCAAAATAGCTGCGGACGGGGGCGAGGCTGCTATTTGAAGCCCGGAACGCGCGGTCCCCGCCGCCTCCCTGGCGGGGCCTGGGGATTATGCCGGGAGGACCAGGTCGGCGCATTCACAAATCGCCCCTCCCCAAAGGGCTGCCGTGGAGGGGGCAGCCCCCTCCTAACCGCCCCCGCCGACAGCGGTTCCTGCAACCACAGCTGGATGGCCCGCCCCTCCCGGAGCTGGCATCACCATGGAGATGGAGGGTGTGGCCACCTTGCTCCTGCACCACCCCCTCCATCCTCTCCACAGGGCCCCGCCCGCCGGATGCCGGGTTCTACCCCCGACCCAGAGTAATGACCAGGCAGGAGGCTGTAATGAGGACCTCAGACCCGGACGGTAGTAGCTGGGATGAGAGACGCTTGTATGTGGGAGACCTGGGGGCTGCCTAATTACCACACCCTTCTGGCCTGTCAGACGAGGGCCGGACGGTGCACCTGGCGCCTGCCGAGCCAGGGCGAGGAAGCAGGAGGATTCTGGCCCACACCCGCAGGATCCAGAGCCAGGATTGGGGAGGCAGACTGAATGTGTGTGCGCGAGTTGCCAGGTGTGGCGCACACGTGTGCCCGTGGGCAGTCTACTCATGGGTAGTCTACAGAGAAATAGGGATTTCTGGGGACGCATACGTGTGTAGACACGAAAATGGGGCTATGTGCACGTGCACACAGGTATGGCAGTGAGTGCATGTGACATGTGAGAAAACTGGCGTGGAGGTGTGTGTGAGCACACATGGCAACAGACTTGTGGGCCCATGTGGAAGACCACAGGGGGTTGTGCACAGATCCCAAAGCTTGTGCGTTCAGGGTATAGATGTGGGAGCAGCCTGGGACAGGGCTGGGTGTGCGTGACTCGGACAGACTGGTCTCACAAAGCATGTGTGTCCATGGCTGGTGGCATGACTCATGCTCCTGGGGTAGGCACGCAAGCTGTGTATCAGCAGTGGCCAGGGCCTCTTGGGGCAGAGGAGAGACACAGGAGACCAGAGCCAGGAGAAAGATTTAAACCGCCCCCTATCTAGTTCCTACCTGTGGGAGGAGATGGGGGCTTCTGGTCCTAGGAGGCCCCAGGTGGTTGCCAACTGTGAGCAGGAGATTTAGCTGCCCTGGGCTTCATTTCTCTGGTTTCTAAGAGAAGTTCTCCACATGGAGAGGATTTGAAGGGCAGGGGGACAACTGGCAGAGCTGCCTGTGACTCACAGTCCAGGAATGTGGAGACTGACTTTGCACCTGCCCAGGCCCCCATCCCAGGAGTATAAAGGCCAGGCAGTGACTCCAGTCCCCACAAACTGCACGCACACATGATGGGCTGCAGAGTGGGACCCTGAGGGACACAAGGAGAGACAGACCTCGTGCATTTGCTCCAACCTGCACCTGGGCAGAAGTCCTGTGGGAGTCACCAGCCAGCCTCTCCCATCACACACACGTGTGCTCTTTCCCCACAACATGATGGTGGCCCCCTCTGCTGAGGAAAACTGAGGCACAGACAGGGTAGTAAATGCAGTGATCAGCAAGCACACGCCAAACATGCCCGCAGGCATAGGATATAGATCAGGAGGAGCTAATCCCCACAGATGCCCTATACACTTGACCTTGGCCCCACACACAGGCTCTCCACAGGCACAAGGGGCTTGTGGCATCTCCATGGCAACACTGGAGTACACAAATGAAGAGTGCTCCCTCCCTGGGCAGCTGCGGGGACTCAGGGAAGAGCTGTGGGGCAAGCAGCCCACACATGTGCCCACACCCCCCTGCACCTGTCCCCACCAGAATCACCTGGCTGGGCTCCAGTGGGCCTGTGTGGGCGAGTCTGTGGCTGAGTACTGGGTGTGTCTGGGGAGGGCGCTGCCTTGGGTGAGCAAGTCTTCCAGGACCTGAGTGCCCAATGCCCGGTGTAACTTCCAATTTTGTGGTTTTCTTACAGGAGATCTTGGCCCAGGCTGAGAGTGGAGGTGTGGTTTGATTTGAGGGTCACGCAGTTGACTGGGGTTGTGGCAGAACCAAAGTATGGGTTGGGGCCAGTTTTGGGCGGGGGGAGTACAGAGTGTTGTGTATTAGGGTTGCTGTATTGCAGAACAGGGAACCAGTGGACTATGGAGGAGGGTACTTCACGTAAATGTCCAGTAAAAAGGCATATTAGTCTGTCTGGGGCTGTAAGGGGCCCTGTGGGAGTCTGAGGTGGTGTTGCTTCTCCCGGAGGCTTGCAGGGAGCATCTGGAGAGTGAGAAGGGGGTGTGGTACAGTTTGGGCCAGCCTGTGAGGGGCTACCTTCCCCAGGCACCCTGTGGGGCCGGGCCTGCCAAGATTCCAGAGGGGTTAGAGGGTGTTCTCCCCACCCCTGCTTGCTCCTTGACCTGTAACCTCGGCGCAAGCCCACTTCCTTGGTCCTGGGCACCCAACACAGCAGCAGCTGGCTCCAGGGAGGGGCGGTGAGGCGTGGGTGGAGGCCAGAATGTGCCTAGAGTGATAAGGAAAGGGGCCCCCAGAGGGGGGCGGAAGTAGTGGAGGGGATGGTGAGACAGAGACCAGATGAAAATAGAGGGAGACCCATACAGGAACAGAGACAGGCCGAGAGACTAAGGAGGGCAAAAAGAAAGAGAGCGGGGACAAGACAGAGGAAGAGAACTGGACAGAGGGAAGAGAGGAAGGCAGGGAAGAATGGAGACCAGGGGCAGACATGAAGGCAGCAGAACAAGGACACAGGACTAGGGTATGGCAGTCAGGAAGCAGGGCCTCAGGTGATAGTGGCCCTGCCCCCACCCACAGGCGAGCTGCTCACCTGCCCCCAGTGACACCACAGGCTGCTGGTCCTCTGCCCTTCCAGGGTTGGGCAGCTGTGGGTGGGATTGGAGTTAAGACTTCTGGGTTGGGCCCAGCGCCCTTGGCTTGGTAACTCCCATTCCCAATGAGCCAGGAGAGGAGGGCGGATTCCACCAGGCCTGGTGAGGGTGCAGCTGTGCCACAGGCACTTGCCCAGTGCTAGGGGTGCAGCTGGCTTCAGTGGCACACCACTCACTCCAGCTCACCAGATGGCTCCTCCCTAATGTCCTCCCCAAGCAACCCCCCTGACTGACTTCAACCTTTGGCATTTCAACACCATGCAGCTAGCCCCAGTGACCCATTTGGCCACCCCCGGAGGGCTCCAGCCTCAAGCACAAAGCCATGACCCCAGTGACCTCCTGCCCACCCCAGCAGCCTCACCACCCCAGGAGCACCGCCCACCTGAGCCATCACCTGGACTCAGGCTCCATGCCTTAGTGGCCATGACCTTCCACACCACCATTCCGGACCGACCCTCATCTCTGTCTTGAACTCTCTGCCTAGGACCAATGGTTTGGCTC